GAGAGAGAGAGAGAGAGAGAGAGAGAGATATTATCCACTGACATGTGGGGCACATATGTCAGGGTAAATATACATAGAAAGTTGTATTGGAATCTGCTACAACAACGCACATGTGGAAACTAGTAATGTTTTTGGGAGAGCCGCAATGAGCACTTATAGGAGAAGTTTTTCTGGGAAGGGGCTAGATGTGCTCTTATGGCCTTTGTCTCTTTTTTTCATAGGAATATAAAAAAGAGGTTGGAGTGGTGTAAATTTCCTTTATTTCCCCTATGAAAATCAATTCAAAGAAAAAATGGGCTCCATTTTTTCTATGGTCCATTCCCTTGTTTGAAACGGATGAATAGTATCATCATATAAAGGAAAAGATATTCCTATGATTTTCATTGCATTTTCGGAGGAATTAAATTCTCAGAAATTTTACTTATGTTGGTTGTTTATTCGTAGGATTGAATCATGCAGAATTTTTCCAAGAAATCATTTGTACTACATTCAAAGAAAATTTAGTATCCACTCAACTGTCTTGGAAAAGATCCTTTATTTTTCTATGACACAGTCAAACAAATTCAAATCCTCTAGAATTCGAATGGACATGACATTCCTTTCCCTATTTTTTTTTCTATTCCTACATTTTTGGACTAGCCACAATAAGAGTAACATAGATGGTAACATCACACTTATTTAGACAAAATAGATGATGTGATAAATAATTAATGATGAAAGAGAGGCATGTAGTAAACATAGCTAGTTACCCATACTATGAGTAACATTACACATACCAAGACAAGATAAGTCTACAACCTAATAAATAAAAAGTTACATGACACCACACATAGTATGTTAATCCCTACTATAGAGGTAGTAACACAGACAAATAGCATATGAATGTTATTAGTCTAAGTTACTCCCTACTAATCAAAGAGGTCAAAAAGAAACGTGAGAGTATACAGGAACAGGAGTATGATACTGGGAATCGGCTCGATGGAGTTGCGAAGGGCCACCAGATCAAAAGGCTCCCGATTTGGTTGCAGCCTTCTCAAACAAGCAAAACGGCGTGCACCAAAAGAGGATCGGCTAGCCAATGGTGGAGAGGCTCGCCTTTTGATGCCTCTGCCGCCTCCTCCTGCGGCCGTGTTCTTGCTCTTCCCCATGACTGCTAGATTAGCTCCCCATTGGCTGGAACCATCCGCCATTGAGTACCGCTCTCGATCATCGTGGCTCCGAGTATACTATGCCCGTTTGTGCCGACTGCCGAACAGTGCGCCGTTGATTGATTGTCGTGTGGGTTTTTTGGGCCTCCATCTTGTTCTGGCAGGCGCAAGGATAGCTACTCTGGTACACATTCACATGCCAAGACTAATTGCGATTTATTGTCCCACGAGATCATCCTGACCAAGCATTATGTTTGTCAGGGGCCAGCTATATAGTTAAGTTTTCTCTTACAGTAGCATAGATGCGTGGCAGGGCTATAGGTTAATTGTGACAAGACAACGCTGGAGCGCATGTCGGACAACTGGTTAATCTGCTGCCTATTCGTCCAGATGTGTAATTTCAGCTGACAGTTACTACCAACCCAAAGGTCCACCTACTCGCTGAGCATGCATCATGGTCAGTTAATCCTTCCTTGCTGTACAGATTTGTCTTCATTGTTCCTACTCCTACGTCCTTCTGTCAGCATTATCAAGATTCAAGGGCATGGTAGATGCCTTTGAAACTGGTAGAAACGGTAGTTTGCTGAATTTTACACCCATGCAGTTCCATTTTGTTTTGGATTGCATGCATCTGACAACCAGTTCACACAAAAAGATGTATCGACAGAGAATGACGCGCAATCTATTTCAACACTCTTTTCTCTTTTCTAGCCTTCTTCAGACCTTAGACGTGGGATAAACGATCGATATAGATAGCATCTACTCCATCCGTTTCAAATTACTCCTCGCAGAAATGGATGTATCTAGAACTAAAATACATTTAGATACATCCATACCTGTGACAAGTAATTCAAAACGGAGGGAGTATTTCCCTTAATAGTACGTTGGCATGGTATTGAACTCAGGTCTTGGCTCTAATACTATATTAAATTTCATGCGCCTATCACTTCATAAAAGATTTCGAACAAGTGGAGAATGACAGGCAATATATCTCAACATTTTTTACACTGTTGCTGATGTTTTCTCACTCGAGATGGCAATTAATGAAAACTTTCATTCGAGATGGCTTTCTGCATGAATCTGTCTCAGAAACTAGCCATCCCATTAGGGCCGAGATTTATGAGTATATAAACACCAAAGAATCTACTTACACCCCAACTAATCATCCTTTCTCCACAACCTCCCAATAGGTTGCCTTTCTCCGGCCTTGCTAGGCCTGAAGCCGTGCCCTCTGCCGCCAAGCAAAAGGGCATCCCTAATGGCTGACAGTTCAATATGAAGGATAAGACATAATCATGATGTGGCCAACTACAAGAACATGTTCTTCGTCTAGCCTTG